TGTGTAGGTGACCCCCAAAAACCTCACGCAGTCACTGGGGTGCAGTTCTGGAGTTTGTGATTAATTCATGATCCAAGGCTGGGATTAACGGTGTGAGTGCTGCTGGGATTAACAGTGTGAGTGCTGCACCCAGCCTGGGGCAGATAGCTTCAAGGCAGTAGAAGGAGGGGAGAGAGACTTGCTTCTGCCACCTCTGCCACCTCTGCCACTGCTCCTGTTTTGCCCTTGCTCTTTGCTGTTTTCCACTGCCATGTGGCACTCTGCCTTGGAGCCAACCAAGTATGGACTCAAACCTCCACACACTGTGAGCTAAATAAACCTCTTCTTCCTTAATTTTGGGCATCTGGTATTTGGTCCCCACAATGAGAGAAGAGTAACCGAGACAGTGTCACAGGGAGAATTGAATTTCAACATGAGTTATGGAGGACGCTCACCATATTCACGCCAGGGAATCAGTGTGGCTTGGACACAATTTTATTAGTTCTCAATATAATCAAATCACAGCAGACCTTAGGTTCAGATTATACACGTGCTGCCTAGTCCTTGATCAGCCATTGCTACAAGAACATTGGTTAATTTAGGGTGATAATTTTGGACACGACGATCTGAATCCTGGTGTCTGCTGCTGTGGGCATTGTCTTTACCTCTGGACACTCTCAGTCGACAGAGCTAGCAAACACATTCTTTTTTAAGTGAGGGAATGATGACTTTACATTAGGATCAGTGTCACACTGGCAGTGTCTTGGGCCAGGTAATGCTTTGCTAGTGGAGCTGATCTGTGCAGTGTAGGATGTTGGTGCCATTCCTGGCCGGTCCTCAGCACCTTCCCACCTCTAGGCCAAAGTGGCTCCAGGCACTGGGAAGGCCTCAGAAGTGGTGGGAAAGGGTACAAGCAAAGCTTGCCTCCCGTTAATGATTTCTGGCTCATATTTATAAGATGAAAATACATGTCATTTTTTTCTAATTATTCACACCAGAATAACTTTTAAAAGTAAAGCTGTAGGTCAGTTCTAACATCCTTGGCTTGAAATCCAAGGCCAACCCCATAATGTTTAATCAGAAGATCAGTGTCTTGTCAATAATCAGACTACTCAGGCCAGTATTATGCCAGAATTCCACATATCCATCAGATTTCAAATTTCTCCTTTGCCCCAGTTCAGCACACACTGTGCAGGGCTCAGAGCCAGGAGGAGAAGGCCCCAAGTCAGCTTCTTCCTGGTCTATTCTGAGGACACTCAGGCTGCTAGAAGCTCTCTGTGACCCTGCTAGGGCCAGGTGTTGGTGGAAGAACCAAGAGGAGGGCCCGGGTGTGCTTGGCAGGTGCCGTGGTTCTCGCTGCTGTTCCGTGATCCATGGATGCTTCTAGTGCGCGCATCCTTCCGTGGGCTGAAGGGAGTTGTGGTGAGCTTTCTCTGGGACACTCCAGCGCTGACCGTGTAGTGCAGGGGACACCGCTAGTCTTTGGCCTTCTGGGGGTGCCCGTTGGCCTCAGGACTTATGCGCTCGGCCCCATTCGGGTTTTGTAGGCTCACCGTGCTCTCCAGGGATTCCTTTCCACCCTTCAAGATATATTCTGAAAACAAATTTACCATACAGAGCTTATGAGTTCTTCACTAAGTAGATTAAACTATATTATTATTATACTCACCAGATCAAAAATCTCCAACATTATTCACATGCCATAATCCCCAGATTGCGTCTTCTAGACATCGCTTGGAAGTGAGCCCCAGCCCAACTCTGAACAGTATCAGTTGGCTTTGACTTTTTGGGAACTTTACTTTAATGGATCACAGAGAAAATTTCTGTTTTCCCGGCTCTGTGTGTATCACCTGCTCGTGCTGTCCGAGTCCCTGGAGCGTCATGCTGTGTTGTTTTATCCACCCCACTACCCCAATTGAACATACAGATTTATTTCTCCTGTCATCTTCCTACACAGTTCAACTTTCTGTCCAAAACATTCATGAAAAATTGTGATCTTTCTCATACTCAAGTAAAATGTGTTCATTTGTGCTCTTAAGAGTCAATGGGGGCCGGGGAGATGGCTCAGTAGGATAAGCACTTCCCTGGCAAGCGCAAGGGCCTGAGTTCAATCCCCAGTTCTGAAAAAAAAAAAGTGTCAATGGGATATAGATTTTTTGTTTCATAAATAAGTCTCCCTGTAGTCTATAATAAAACACTTTTAATTAAAATGGATTTTTGTCATGTACCTAAAATTTTATCAGTCATTTGTCATTAAGCATTCATTTTATCAAATCGCATTTTAATCATGCTTATGTTTCCACAATATACTGTGTTTGCTTAGCTTGTTTGTTCTGTGTAGTTCAGGCTGGCCTTGAACTTTGGGCAACCCTCCTGCCAAAGCTCCCCGAGTCCTGAGATCACAGCTGTGCACCACCACACCTGGCTACACAATACAATCTTTTTTACCATGGCAGCATTTTGAACTGAAATATGAAGAGCAAGTGGAAGTGATAGATAGATAGATAGATAGATAGATAGATAGATAGATAGATAGAATTACTCAACAGTCCCTTTTTCTGGTTCATTAAACATAAACAATGAAACTTCTCTGTGAACAGTGTGTCAAATAGAAACTTGTTATATTTTATATGTAACTTATTACTATAAAATGCAAGAAATTTTGCTAAAGAAAGGGTATTCTGTAATTTTAAAATGTTCAAAGAGGGTAAAAAAAATCTAGGGCAAGTCATGACAAAAGTGAAATACTATAGATCTTGTGTTGTTGAGTATAACTATGTAACTATAAATGAAATAAATATAATTGTGTATATATGTGTCAAACAGGTATTTATCAGGCTCTCAAATGCAAGAGTTAAAGAACCAAAAGACCTGATTTCCATCCTCAGGGAATCTAGGGGAGACAGGCATATGGCATTTATAATGGGAATATATCAACTATGCCGTTGGTATCCAGGAAAAAAAGTCTCATCTCCACTGGGAGTGGTCAAGTTAGACCAAATGGGAGCAGCTAAGCCACAATTTCAAAGATGAGTAAAATTTTGAGAAGCAGATACATTGACAGAAAACAGGGTCAGTCCTAGAGGCATGAAGACCTTGGAGGCAATACAAGAATGCTGGTCTAGTGACGTGCACTCACCTCCTACCTTTCCCACTCTAAAGAGGCAACAGATTTCTCAAGGAGGAGGGGAAACACGGAGCCATGTTAGGATGTGCAAGGGCAGCGCCTCAGGTTCAGAGAGGGAGATGACGCAAGCGTCATAGCAAGAGCTAGACAGTACCTCCCGATTTAGTGAGCTCTTCTGTTATTTGTCATTAGGATTCCTGTTTGAGTGGCCTGCACTTTATTAGTCCTCCTGGGTGTCTTATAACTTCCAGCAGCGAGGAGAGGGTGGACAGACTGCAAGGCTGTTTGAAAATGGAGTGCTCTGCTCTGCTAGTTGTAGAGTTGCCTCCTGGCGGTGTTACGATAGGCTGGGGAGAAGCCGCAGTGTATGGCTGGGGACACAAAAATCGAGAGTGACCAAGTGGATCTGGGTGCGCATTTCTTTTTCAAAACCAGTTTAAGGGCTGGGGACATAGCTCCGCAGTCTAAACGCCTGCCTGGCAAGCATAAAGACCCGAGATCGATCCCTGGTGCTGCACGTCGTGCCAGCCCCAGAAGCCTAAGTGCATCAGCCGCCAAACCGGGCGTGGTGGCGCAGGCTTGTAGTCACAGTGGGAGGCTAAGACAGGAGGATCACTAAGAGTCCAAGCTGTGGAACAAGACCCTATACCAAGTAAATAAATAAATACATGAATAGTAGAAATGGTTTAAAAATGGCTGTTTTTACCTGAAGAAAAGTGGTAGCAATCAATTATGCTGGATTTTTAATCCCAAGGTTTACGAGTTTAATATTTCCAGCCTATTCATTTGTGTCTGGGCTGGCTTTACCTGCCAGGTGACTACATGTTTAACCAGGTACCTGATGGCATGAGAAGAGTCATCCTTTCCATGTCCCTGGCCTCCCTGGTGGCTCTGCGTCCTGGCCAGGGGTTGTGCAGAGGCAATGCCTGGCCCCATGAGAAACTGTTGTGCCTCCTGCGGTAGATCTTGAGAAGGGGACCCTCCGCCGTCCCCTCCGACTCCACACCCCTACAGGCATTCCGGTGGTTGGGAGCTGTCCCCAGTGTAAGCCCCCCGAGGTGGGGACTTTATAGCCAGCGCCCAGGGGTCTAAAGTTTTCCTTCCTCCTCAGACTTTAAATATTGGACTGCTAAACTTTTTTTCCCTTCAGGATATATATGAGTTTCATTCTATGTGGTAACTAAGTTGCTCGTTCATGTACATTAAAGTGTATAAATATGGAAGGTGATTAAAACAAGGTGAATGTTTAAATTTTAAAAAAAAAATATTAGTAGAAGACATGCCGCCACTGCGAGTCCTCAAAATACCCTTACTTTGAACACACTTGTCAGCTTCTGAAGCAGTTTTGGAAGAACCCTTTGATGTGCTTCTTTACTAGGTGTGACAAAAAATACAGTGACTGCTGCCTTGAGTGCCATCCAGTGGAAAGGTGGGCTGCAAAGTCACTGTGCTGTGTCCTTGTCATGTTATTTTCTGCATCTGACACTGTGAGACTTCCAGGACATCCAAATAATGACCATGAAGGGTGACTGTTTTCACTTGGCTCAGGACACCAAGGCAGCCGTGACGAGGACACTAGACACAAGGGGGAAGGAAGTAGCAGAAGGGTTGGAAGGAGTGTGTTCAAGGCGAGAGGGAGTGTTCTGAGGTACGCTAATGGCAGCGCACCTGCGTGGTAGTTTTTGACCACACCCCGTAACCATTCAGTTTCTTAGCATCTGTCGCCCGAGGCCCAGGTCAAGTATTGTGTGGGGCCAGAGAACCAGTGCATCACTCTGATGCCCAGCAAGAGGCTGAGGCAGGCCCTTGCGCATGCGTGTCTGTCCTCTTTCATTGGTCATCACAAATCAGGAGTCTTTAGAGACTAAATAATTTTTACTTTTTCATTTCTTAGGGCAGCATAACTATCTATGCGCTGGAAGAAATGACTGCATTGTGGATAAAATCCGCAGGAAGAACTGCCCCGCGTGCCGCCTCCGAAAGTGCTGCCAGGCGGGCATGGTCCTCGGAGGTAATTTAAGATTTTCCTCAATAACATACTGTGCTTTTATGTTGTAACACCATGGGTCAGAGAATCCTAATTTTCTTTTTCATCTTGGTTCTTGCGGGTTTTTTCCTGTCTTTATTGTTGGCAGTGACTTCACACCTGAGTGTCTGAATGAATTTTATAGACATCCAGCATATTGAGGTCTGTTACCAGAAGTTAGAAAGTTCCATTCACCAAGTAGACATTGTGGGTCATCCTAGTGACCCGCCATTGAGTAATGTAGGTTGGCTCTATCCCTGTCACTCACCGCTTGTGTGGCCTTGCGGAGGTCACCAACACCTACTGGGTGTCAGTTTTCTTATCTATAGAATGAAAACGCTGCTGTCCTTTCCAGCTCAATAATTGATGGCACCTTTTTGCCAGGTTTCTTGTTTTTTCAGCTCCTACAACAGCTGTTAAAGCAAGGTTACTGCGGTGGGAATAAGAATCGATTGAAACCCAGTGATGTTAGTGATTCCCTTTTCCCATACTCTCTGGAACTTTTGAAAATATAGTGGACACTGAAAAAAATTCACGTCAGATTTTTTTTAAAAGCATTTATATATTTATTTGGTGCAGGGCCTCACTATGTAGCTTGGACTCACAGAGATCCTCCCGTTTCTGCCTTCCCAGCACTGGGATTACAAGCATGCGCCACCATGCCTGGTTTGGGTGCCAGTAAGGTGCACCCAGGTTTCCAGGGCTGGCACAGCATGCGGTACCAGGTATCAAACTCAGGTCCTTGAGCTTGCCAGACAGGCACTTAGACCACGGATCTGTCTCCCCAGCCCATAACGTCAGATTTTTGATAAATGGTTTAAAGGAAAATAAAACAGAGTAATCAAAAGAGCCAGGATTATAAAAGGCAGGATTATAAACTTCTAACTTTATTTTTTACTTAGCCACATCCTGCCCAGTGCTGCCTGGGAATGAAGGCTTTTATGTCTAGTTAGAAGTTTTCAACAACATAATAAAATATGTCCGTAGTTGTTGAAACTAAACATGTTTTTACTTCAGAGCACATCTAAAAACAGCTTGCTTTCCATCAGTGTTATGTATCTCTTCCTTGGGGAAACGTTAAATTTAGACCAGTATCGGTCAAGTTTAAAGCCCACCTAAATACTACCTCCTCCCTGAAGTTTCTTGGCCAACATGCGTGGGTAAAATTGCTCGCCGAGTCAACATGCTGGGCACTTCCTAAGAGTTCACTTACGGTATTTTATAATTTCTTGATTAGAGATATGTTTTTCCTCCGTTAAGAGAAGCACTTAGGTCTTAAGTGTGTCTACAGCAATACCTGGCGTAGGGAGGTGCTCGGCAAATGTTTACTGAATGAATGTATCTCTTCTCGGGAGATTGAAAGATTTTACACCGCGACTTCCTCTGCTTTGTGTTTGAGGTTTATCTTCAGTAGCATCCTAAACGTTAGCAATTCAAACTGTCTCATAGACCTAGTTACTGTAGGAGCTAGAAGAAAGAGCTGGTGGTACTCTGACCCCCGGAGAGGTCACTGTGTTTTCTGTAGCATGCTTGCTTTGCAAAACGGCAGACTCTAGTGCAGAGCCCTCGAATCTGCCAGGATCTGTAATCTTGAGTCCCAGATGCGTTTAAGAGACTCTCCAACCTTATCCCAGACCAGAAATGGCAGAGTTCTGGTGGAACCTTCAGAACGCTCGTGAGGATCAGTGGTGCAGCCTAGAAGACATCATGTCTCGTCAGAGTCTACCGTTAGCCTGGTGTCCAAGGCCCTGTCATAATCACTGTCTTCCCTACCCAAAACTCTTGCTCTTTCATCTATTGCTGAGCTTCCCCTTCCACACTCTACTACCTCTACAGCCACTGGTGTATCTTCACACCTTCTATGACTTGTCTTCAACTCCTTTCTTCCTCTTTCCCCCTCCTATTTCTCCTTAATTTTCTCTATATCAATTTCTCTCCCTCCTTTTTCAACCAGTATGCAGCTAGCCCTTGCAGCTTACCAGGTGCTAGTCCAAGTTCTGGGACATAGCAACAAATAAAACAGGCCACACCCCTGCCCTTCTGGTGTTTACTCTGAAGATGAGGCTAAAGAAATGTCATATGATGATAAGTGCTGTGAAAAATATTAAGCAGGGAACATCAATAAGGAATATCAGGGAGAAGAGTCATTTTTGAGCCCTTTACTCTGATTAATATTTTCAATTCACTTAGCCAATTCCTAAGCAATAATTTTGCTGAAATCATGGATTTGATATTCTACTTATAATTTTCCAAAATAAGATTCATGACTATAAAATAAATTGTATGTGACTAAAATATAAATTATGTGTTTAAATAAATTCTGAACTATTTAGATAAAACTGGGCATGGTGGCACACACCTGTAGTCCCAGCACGTGGGAGGCTGAAACAGGAGGATCACTATGACTCCGATCTGTGTAGTGAGACCCTGTAGACCCTGCACTAAGTACATAAAAAAGCCCTGTTTATTTATTTACCTTTTTTTTTTTTTTTTGCTGTACCAGGGATTGAACTCAGGCCCTTGCACTTGCCAGGCAGGCGCATATTCTACTGAGCTATCTTCTCCAGCCCCTAAAAAGCCCTATTTAAATAAATATACAGCAATTTACTGCCTAAAAACAGCTCATGTGCCAACAGCGGTGTGTGTTCCACTGTAGGAAAGAACATATCGGGCCAATAACTCGTCCGCGCTCGGTGTCTTAAGCACCCTGCTAGTCATTGCTTCCTTGGGCACTACAAATGTGATTTCTAACAAAATAATTACATAGCAGAAACGTAGGTGATCTCAGGGAAGTATCATAGGTATCTCTCTGCCACAAGAAAAGAGGAAGAATACACTGGCCAAGAGGTCAAGGCGAAGACCTCAGAGTGTCCGTAGACGCCTTGGGACTCTCAGAAGGATGAAGGTGTTTAGAACGAGCGTTGTGAATATTTGAAAGAAACATGGTATTTGACATTCTAATGATAATTTTTTCTAGAATGTTATTTAACAAGTGGGAAAAGTGAAACTTGAACTATAGCTTGGGACAGTTGGACTCTGAAGTTTGAACTGTCTTCTGGATCACTGGAACCAGGGAACTTTCGGAACACATTATTCTGGGCTATGCACGAATAAATCCCAAATTTCTTAACATCGTGTTCAGCGCCTCTCGTCATCTCACAACTACTCTCTCGAGGACTTTCTGCCACCCCGGCCCTCAGCCAGTCCTGTACCCTGCGTCAGCTGCTGTCGCTGACCTTGCACATGTCCCTGCCTCTCTCCTTTTGCACCTCATGGACTCTGACTGATCCTTCATAATAAGTTCCAGTGTGGTAATTTCTTTCTTCTTTTTTTTTTTTTTTTTTTTTGGCAGTACCAGGAATTAAACTCAGGACCTTGCACTTGCCAGGCAGTGCTTATGCCACTGAGCTATATCCCCGGCCCAGTGTGGTAATTTCTATTGAGCCTTCCCATCTTTCCAGTAAGGGCAGGGGCAGGGGTGTGGCAGGGACCTAGTCCAGTCCCGCCCTCTCGTGTGGAGCCCGAAGGCCTTCGAGACAGCCAGGGTTGGACCCTGATCGTTCGTATGTGAGCGTTCTTATCCTTACACTACAAGGATGACCAGGTGGACAGCCTGTTCTGTTGCGTGTCCCTGCACAGCTACCGCACTCTGTGACATGCAGACCTTGTGGCACCTGGTGAACTAAGTCTCCCCAGATTATACCTTCTCAAAATATTGGGGGATTTTGACCATTGGTTTCATTCTTTGAAAAAGTGGGTCTTTTAAAATTGTTTGTTTTATTTATTTATTTATTTATTTGATACAGGATCTTGCTACACAGTTCAGACTTGCAGTGATCCTCCTGTCTCAGCCTCCCCAGCGCTGGGATTACAGGCATGTGCCACCATGCTGGGTTTTGGTAGCCTGCACAGTGCCTGGGGTTCCAAGGCCAGCATGGCATGTGGCACCAGGGATCAAACTTGGGGCCTTGCGCTTGCCAGGCAGGTATTTAAACCATCAAGCCCAAAAAAGTTTTAACAGTTTATTCACAGTGGTTTCCAAAATTTAAGGCCATGCATGGTGTTCTTGACCCCAGGAACAATTAACTGTAGTTTTGGGTTTTTATTTTTTATTTATTTATTTATTTATTTTTGGCTGAACTAGGATTTGAACTCAGGCCCTTGCACTTGCCAGGGAAGCACTTATTCCACTGAGCCATCTCCCCAGCCCCCTTTTATTTTTTTATTTTTTATTTTTTGATCTTTTCTTAGTCCATTTTGCCCAGCGACATCTCATATTGCAGTGGTAATATGGGATTTTCAGCTAGTGAGCTGAAATTATTCAAATTCATTCGTCTTCCCCATATGACATACTGTCATTCAAAATAAGATAGAGTTCCATAGTATAAGATGGCTTATGAAGACAAATAGATAATGCAAAATCTTTTATTTTTTGAAGGATAACTCTTGAATTTAAAACGAAAGCCTTTCTGTATTTCAAGTTCATATTGTACAGAGTCACACAGACCTAGTGGTGTCCTGTAGTCAAGGCACGGGCTGAGGACCAGAGCTGGGTCGCACACCTACGTGCGCTGGCTTGGAGGTTCATCAGAGAGAAGTGGGCGGGACCCCACGTGGTGGTGTCCTGGTGCTGCTCAGGGGAAGTCGGGGGAAAGGGACTCGATAACTCATGGAGGCCAGGAAGAGGGAGTCAAAGGGGATTGGGCTCAGCTTGCCAGGACCATGTTGAATGTGTGGAGCTGAAGGGAGAGGCGGACGCTCAGGGTCTGACAGAAACAGACTCTTCTCTTCAGTGGTCCCCGGGCTGCATGTGGGTTGCTCCTTCCGTCACGGAGAGGAGGTCGCCGTGGAACACCTGCCTTCCCGCTGCTGAAGCCCAGCCACAGCCCCACTCCTCCTTCCTCATTCCCTTCCTCCCTGTGTTCCTTCTTTCATTCATTCTTGTTTGTTACTCCTTCTGGAGGTTTCTCGTTCAGACATAGGAG